ATGAAATCATGTAGTACGCAACCACTGAGGATTGGCTTTTTTCACACAAGTAATTCTCTAGAGATTCATCCAGATTTGTGTCCATCGGCAGTTCTTTCCTTTGTCTTCCTGAGTGTATTCTGTGGTGTGAAGGTACCGCAGTGTGTTTAACCATTCTCTTGCTGGACGGCATCTGTTGTTTCCAGTTTTTGGCTATTATGAGTAAAGCTGCTAGAAACGTTCATGGACAGATTTTTATATGCCAGTAAGTTTTTATTTCTCTGGGATAAATGCCCAGCAGTGTAATTGCTGGATTGTATGTAGTTGCATGTTTAGCTTTTTAAGAAACTGCCAAACTGATTTCCAGAGGGCCTGAATTATTTTACATTTCCATCTGCAATGTATGAGTGTTCCCGTTTCTCTGCATCCTTACCAGCGATTGATGGTGTCGCGGTTTTTATTTTTGCTATTCTGCTAGGCACATAGGGATATCTCATTGTGGTTTTATTTGCATTTCCCTAATGGATGATGATATTGAATATCTTTTTATGTGCTTATTGCCATCTGTATATCCTCTTCATGAAATGTCTCTTCATTCTTTTGCCCATTTTCTAATTAGAGTGGAGTGTTTGGGTTTTTTACTGTTGAGTTCTGAGAGTTCTATGGATATATATATTTTAGATACTAGTCCTCTGTCGAATATGTGGTTTCCAAATATTTTCTCCCAGTCTGTAGCTGTTCTTGTCATACTCTTAACAAGGGCTTTCATGGAGTAAGTTTTTTAAACTTTTGATAAAATCCAGTTTATCAAATATTTTTTGTATGTGTGGACTGTGCTTTTGGTATCAGTTCTAAGAACTCTTCTCATAGGCCTGGATTCTGAAGATCTTCTCCTATTTTTCCTAAAATTTAAGTCCATGATCCATTTTGAGTTAATTTTTGTATAAGGTGTAAGAATTGGGTTGAGATTCGGTTTTTTTCCTATGGCTGTCTAGTTGGCCCAGCAACATTTGTTGAAAAGGCCATCCTTCCTCGCTGAATTGCTTTTGTACCGTGTCAGAAATCCTTCAGGCATCTTCTGTAGGTCTCTTTCAGAGTTCTCTGTTCCATTCTATTGATCCATGCATCTACCACTCTGCCAGTGGTGCACAATCTGGATTCCTGTAGCTGTATGTTACGTAAGTCTTAGAATCAGGTAGACTGAATCCTCCCATATTGTTCTTCTTTTTCAAAATTGTCTTAGCATATTCTAGTTCCTTTGCCCTCTCCATAGAAATTTTAGAATAATCTTGTATATAACTACAAAAACTCTTGCTGGGATTTTGATAGAAATTATATTAAACCTGTATGTCAATATGGGGAAAACTGATATTTTAACTATGTTGAGTCTTTAATTCATAATAAACGAGATATGTTTCTACATTTATTTAGATCTTCTTTCATTGCTTTCATTAGAATTTTGTAGTTCTCAGCATACAAATTTTGTACATTTTATATTCAGATTTATACTTAAGGATAGATTTATAGATTTATACCTAAATATTATTAGATTTATAGATTTATACCTAAGTATTTTCCTTCTTTTTTGAAAGCAATTGTAAATTGTATTAACATTTTTAATTTCAGTGTTCACATGCTCATTGCTAGCATACGGAAATTTATCTGTATATGTTTATCTTATATCCTGTGACCTTTTTGAACTCATTCACTGGTTCCTGGAGAGTTTTATGGTTTTGGTAGATTCCTTGTGATTTTCGACATAGTCAATCATATCATCTGCAAATAGGGACAGTTCTATTTCTTCCTTTCTGATCTGTATGCCTTTTATTTCCTTTTTTGGCCTTGTTGGTCTGGTTAGAATGACCAGTACTACGTTGAATAAGGGTAGTGAGAGCAGAAATCTTTGCCTTGTTCCCAGTCTTCAGGGAAAGCATCTAGTCTTTCACTACTGAGTAGAATGTTAGCTGTAGGGGTTTTTTTTGTAGCTGCTCTTTATCAAGTACCCCCCTATTTCTACTTTTCTATGAGAGTTTTTGCCGTAATGGGTGTTGAATTTTGTCAGACTCTTTTTATTCATCCATTAATATGATTG